GAATATCCAATTTGGTCCAAACTTGGTACATCGTAATATTATTATCAAACTTAGATCGAGTTCGTAGATGTGCAATATCGGTCCACTCCTTCTGGTATCTCCACCCACAAAAGGTCGAAAAAAATATTTTACAGTACCAAAAGGGTATGATCCGATTTTGCTCCCACTTTACAAATCCTAATATTTGCATCAGTGCTAGGTCAGGTGCGAAAATGGACAATATCGGTCCACTACTTCTGGTACCTCTCCCCAAAGGGCCAAAATTTTGAATAATTATAACTCTTTTAAAATCCGATATAAGCATCCGGATCTCTTCAAATTACACACATCACAATATTTTTATTAACCCAAGGTCTGTTGTGAAAATGGGATATATCGGTCCGCTCCTTCTGGTACCTCCCCCACAAAGACGTAAAAATTTTGAGTATCCATGAACCCCATAAAAGAGGAAATTAACATCCGATTCCATTCAGTCTTGGTACATCTCAATACTTCTATCAAAACAAGATCTGTTATAAAGATGGAAGAGATCGGATCATTCCTTCTGGTACCTCCCCCACAAAAAGGTCTAAGTTTTGAATAACCAAAACCATCATAAAATCTGAAATAAGCATCCGGTTCTCTTGATATTTCACACATCCCATTATTTCTACTAACACAAGATCTGCTGTAAAGATGGGATATATCGGTCCACTCCTTCTAGTACCTCCCCCACAAATGGTCAAATTTTTGAATATCCATGAAGCTCATAGAACGTGAAATTAACATCTGATTCCATTCAGACTTGGCACATCTTAATATTTCTATCAACACATGATCTGTTATAAAAATGGTAGAGATCGGATCGGATCATTTCTTCTGGTACCTCCCCCACATAGGGTTCAAGATATTGAAAAACAAAACGCTCAAAGAAAGCGAAATTAGCATCCAACTCTCTTCAAATTTCACACATACAACCATTTTTGCTAACACAAGATCTGTTGTGAAGATGATATATATCTGCGAATCCCACCCTCACCCACAAAGAGTCACAATTTTCAATTATTTTATCTGTCATAACTTGCGAAACAAGTCAGCGATTCTTTACAACTTTCTATATCCAAATATTTCTCTCAACCAGACACCTGAGATGAATATGGAATTTATCGGAATTTAACTGTTCGATTTTCTTGTAATTTGGCCCATACCAATATTTTTATCTGCATTAGATGAAGTATAAAAATGGAATATTTCGGTCGACTATATCTGATACTTCAGTCACATTTTAACAATTTCTAAAGATTATCACATATTTCATATAAAGTGAAGGAATTAGTCGATATAGTCCAAACCTGGCACGTCGGATTGTTCATATGATATTTATTTTGGTCCGATATGAAATGGACAATACTGTCCCATTTTTTCGGAACCTACTCCATAGAGGAACAATCCTTTGAATAATCATAAGAGAAGTCAAAATATATTTAATCGAACATTGCCTAAGGGTATACATCTGTCGGTAAAATCGCATCTAATTAACTTTAATTCTCTTTCCTTTTTCACAGGCTGCTGAATTCGCTCTCTTTGCTGGTCTCATGATCATCGACATGTTTATATTCATGTTATTGGCAATGCGTTATAAATATGTAACACACAGTGAAGAAGGTGATCCAGAAGCCGGAGAGAAATCCGTTAGACCCAATAATGAACAAATGGGACAATTACCGCCGGCGGCACCATCAACTCCACAAAGAATCAAGAACAACGAAGACCACAAGGAAACCACCACCGCCACCAATGGTGTAACGAATGAGGCCTACGATCACAATGAAGAAGATATGAAATGAAATTTATTTGAATTTTGAATAGAAAATAATGGGAAATGTGTCTCATGTGTCATTTCCTGACTGTGATCTGTACTTATCTAGCTTAAATTGTGAATTTCTTTTTTTATACTCCCCATATTTCTCTGTTATAAATAGAAGATCACTTCCTGTACAATATTTTCATAATTATATCTTTGATTTTGTCTCTTTTTGTAAACATTTTTTCAGTTGTAATTTATTTTCTTTTTTATTCAATCTCTGTTTTTCTCATCCAATTTTATTTTTGCCCACATAATTTTTTTTATATTCTATATTTTCGTATCGTTATTAGTTGTAATCTGTTATATTAACATAAACTGTTATACATTTATTTTTTGTTAAAATCAAATATTCGAATATATATATCGCATGTAATAGTGTTAAGTATGTACAATTGTATATTTTTGTAAAAAAATAGTTATACTTTTTTTAGAACAATTAAAATAATACCTCCCAAATAAAGTCTATAAAACATTTTTAAAAGAAATATTTGTTATTTCGTAAATTTTTTAATAAAACAAAATTGTATTTTAAATGTTTTTAAAAGAAAGTTGTTTTATTTAGGGTTTCTTTTTGATTCAATGCAAAATAAAACAAAATTTAGAGCATACTTCAAGGCTGAAAGTCACATACGAAAAATACACTCCCTAAAGTTGGCTTTGATTTATTGTGAAAATATGGTAGGACATAATTCGTCATGCTAGCAACACCATACATATTTTTCGTCTTGCTTTTCCTACTTCTGTTTGCCTGGTGTTTTCGTAAAATTACGATTTTCGGTCAATCGACAACCGAGTGACGTTATCTAAAAATCGAAAGCAGAAAGGAAAGAAATCATTAAAGCATAAGGATATTGTTAAGCCGCTTACAACAGTCCTAGTTATACCCTCCACCATAGTATGAATGGTATATGAAGTTTGTTATTCCGTTTGTAACACCTCGAAATATACATTTTAGACCCACCCCACAAAGTATATATATTTTTAATCAGCATAAAATTCTATGTCAATTTAACGATGACCGTCTGTCTGAGGGAATCACTTCTAGCTAAAATTTTATTCAAATGTGTGTTTCGTCTGCAGGACTTTTAGTACTGAAAATCGGCTATAAAGATCCACGTTTAGTTATAGCCCCTATTTTCCATATTTTGTAATTTCGTAATAATAGTTCATAATGGTTACTAATGTCTGTGACGGAAAATTGGCTATGCAGGTCTACGTCTTTCCACAGCCCCCATATAACGCTACCCCTCCAAACCCAGTACTTTGATTAGTTTAGCAACATTATTCACCGGAATTGTTTCAAATTTGGTATTTGAAGTTCCTGACGGATGCTATAGCCTATGATAGAAAATTGTCCGTGCAGGTCCAGCCTTCGTATAGCATCCATATAACTTACCGATATTCAGTATTTTGATGATTTTAGCGACATTATTCATCACAACTGTTTCAAATTTTGTATTTGAAGTTCGTAATCGATACTACCTATTATAGAAAACTATCTGTGCAGGTTCACGTCTTCGTATAACCCCCATACAACGGCACCTTCCGATATTCCGTACTGGAATTGTTTCAAATTTGGTATTTGAAGTTCGTAATGGATACTATAGCCTAGTCCAGGTCTTCGTATAGCCCCTAAATATTGGTACCTAATTATATTCCGTATTTAAAATTCTTAATAAAAACAAGTAAAAAAGCTGTAAGTTCGTCCGGGCCGAACTTTGAATACCTTCCACCATTTGGTACAAATTTGGCAATTTTCAAAACAAAAAAAAACTAAATAAATAAAATCCGTTAAAAATTCTGTTAAAATCCTAAAAACACCGAAAGTATCCGTATATTAGGGTCTATACGACGACGTGGACCTACATAGGCAAGGCTTTTGTCACAAGCTATTACAATATACAAATGCGAAACTTGAAAAAAAAATCTGTAGGTAAAATCATCAAAATATCGAATATAGGGAAGTACCGTTATATGGGGGCTATACGAAGACGTGAACCTACATAGCCCATTTTCTGTCTTAAGTCGTAGTATCTGTTACGAACTTTAAATACCAATTTGGAAACAATTCCGGTAAATAGTGTCGCTAAAATCATCAAAATACCGCATAGCGGGAGGTACCGTTATATGGAGGCTATACGAAGACGTGGACCTACATGGACCATTTTCTGTTTTGTGCTGTAGTATATATTACGAACTTCAAATACCAAATTTGAAACAACTCCGGTTAATAATGTCGCTAAAATCATCAAAATATCGAATATCGGGAGGTACCGTTATACGGGGGCTATACAATGACGTGGACCTGCACAGACAATTTTCTGTCATAGGCTGTAGTATTCATTACGAACTTTAAATACCAAATCTGAAACAATTCCGATAAATAATGTCGCTAAAATCATCAAAATACCGAATATCGGGAAGTACCGTTATATGGGGGCTATACGAAGACGTGGACCTACATAGCCCATTTTCAATACCAAAAGTCCTGCAGACATAATACACATTTGAGTAAAATTTTATGAACCTTCTTCATTTCGTTCGGAAGCTAGAGTGATTTCCACACACGGACAGACCGACGGACATTGCTAAATCGACATAGAATTTTATGCTGATCAAGTATATATATATACTTTGTTGGGTCTAAAATGATTATTTCAATGAGTTACAAACGGAATAACAAACTTAATATACCCTCCATACTAAAAATCGTATTGAGGATTTACAGAGGTTCTACTGTATAATTCGTTTTTAACTACACAAAAGCTTCAATGTAATATACAAGTTGAGGCTAAGAGAGACACAAGCCAAGTTTGGTTTCTCTTAATCTATAGCAACATAGAAGTTTACAATGCAACAAAATAATAACCTCGGAAAACAGCAAATAATTGCAATAGTGTTTTACAAATTTATCCCCTAAATATAGTAGGTCAAAATTAAATATTTAATATTTAAATGCTAAAGAAAGGCATCATTCCAAAACTTATTTGAAACTACCGATAGGCCAGAAAAGTGTCCGTAAGTCGATATTTATCACCAATTAAAAAAAATACCTGTATGCCAGTGAAACTAGATATTTCTCTCTTGACTTGTTTTAGTCAATTGTGTCGCAGCCAACTCAATACACTTGCAAAAGCACAGCGATGCAGCAACAAAACAATTCTGAATGCTGTTTCATTCAAGCAGTAATAATCAACGTCATAGAGCTTAAATCTGTATATCTTTAGAGTTTGTGTCAAAATCATTCGAGTTTTAAACGCTGGCGCAGTAACATTTGATCGAATCTAAACCTGACATCGCGTAAACGTTCAAAGTGAGTTTAAAAATCGAAAATAAAATGAAATGTTTCCCGACGAAAGAAATATAAGTTTGCTTTGAGATAGCCTGCATCTGGGTCAGAAGATGTGACTCCATCTTTATACAGACTAAGAAGTTTTATAAACTAAAAAAAGGGCACTCTGAAAAAATATTTCAAAGTACTGCAAACGTAGTGACTAAAAATTTGTACCAAAATATTGACAAATATCAACTATTTTTAACGCCAACCATGTTAAACGTAACATTGTAATCAATTTCATAAGCCAGAGATTAACAACCACATTCTGACACCGCCACATGAATACCAAAAACGGAAAGACACGAACCTCGCCATTTTTCCATATTTCATCAAGTATAGCTGTTACGAGCTCCCAAAATGTAGAGCCTTTATGTCCAAAGGAAATATTTTGTGAGGTTCATATTTAGAAACAAAAAATAGTTTTTAAATTAATCTGAGACAAAATTAAAGCAATTTTCCCACAGCATAAAAATTGTGAAATATTTTCACGTGAAAATATTTTCTTGATACATAATGTAAACTCAGTTTCCTATTTTTCGGTGACTTAAAGCGAAATTTAATGGAGAATATTTTAATACTTAACGTCATCCTCCAAAAATTATGCTTTGTCAGAGAATTTTGCATAATCTCGCACAAACTATATATTTAACTCAAAAATGCGTTTTTAATACATTTATGAAGTTCTGGCGTTTAGGTAAGATCATGGTAGAAAAATATAGGCAGACGCGTCGACACAGCTGCTGGGACAATGAACTATCAAACCAATTTTGGAATTGAAAATGTTGAATGAAAAATTATTTAAATTTGTAAAGATTGTTGAAAAACGCGAATTATAATAGCCTCCGAATGACGTAGTATAAGAAAACATATAAAAATCTACTTATATTTGAAAAAAAAAAACATTTAAATTTTTTTGACACATCAATGCTCCCAAGCGTTAATGCATCTACCTGTATTCTTCTGCCATGGGTAAGATATAGACTTTGATGTACTCTGTGACCTGTAAGAGAATATTATGACAAATACTTTTGTAAAATATGTTGACTTGCTACGATCCCGTTTAAATGGAGTTTTTAACCATATTCTAAAAAAGCACCAAAAAGGTCAGTTTGGGGTTAATTTTTATAGCCTCCGCCATAGTATGGAGGATATATTAAGTTTGTCATTCCGTTTGCAACGCCTCTAAATATACATTTAGACCCCACAAAGTATGTATATTCTTGATCAGCATAAAATTCTATGTCGACTTAGCGTTGTCCGTCCGTCTATCCGTCTGTAGAAATCACTCTAGCTTCCGAACGAAATGAAGTAGGTTGGGCTATAGGTCTTCGTATAGCCCCCATATAACGATTCCTCCCGATATTCGGTATTTTGATGATTTTAGCGACATTATTCACCGGAATTGTTTCAAATTTGGTATTTGAAGTTCGTAATGGATACTACAGCCTATGACAGAAAATTGTCTGTGTAGGTCCATGTCTTCGTATAGCCCCCATATAACGGTACCTCCCGATATTCTGTATTATTAGCGACATTATTCACCGATTTTGTTTTTAAGTTTCGCATTTGAATATTGTAATGGCTTATGACAAAACATGCCCATGAAGGTCCACGTCGTCATATATGTAGACCGTAATATAATGGCTACATTTGGTATTTTTAAGATTTTAAAGGAATTTTTAACGGATTTTATTTTTTTTTTGAAAATTGACAAATTCGTTCCAAATGGTGGAGGGTATTCAAAGTTCGGCCTAGCCGAACTTACAGCTTTTTAACTTATTTTGACTAAATAACCCCTTAAAGTTTATATACTTTGATGTGTTGCTTCCAAGCATTTGCTGGGTAGAGTTATAATTTGCATAATATACTTATAGCTGACGTATTTTATTAAGGTAAACTAAGTGCAATTTAAAAAATAATCGTCGAATAATTGAAAGACAATATAGGATCTGTCAATTTTTCCATTGTCTACGTATTTTCAATTAAAATATGATGTGCTATTATCTTCATTTACATACGTTTTTCATAGGAATGTCCGGATCAAATTCCAAACAAAACTGAATTAAATATATATATACTTATATTCATTGTTAATATGTATTTAAATACATTTTTAATATTTATTTACATATTTTTTTGCAGATCCAAATTCTTTCATTATTATACTCATACACACACTCGCACTTTTATTACGTTGCAGTTTTGCGATCCGATCATTAAAAAGTAAACAAGTTTCGACACATTCTACACATCAGACGAATTAAAATGGATGCTGCGACCATGTCATCGATACCCAACAACAAATCAACGCCCAGTGGTGGCTTCTCTCTGCTGAACCTTGAGAATCGCGTCTTTTGTTGTTTCTTACTATGGACCAGTGTTTTGGTTGGCAAAATGTTGTTGATGTCTATGCTAACGGCATTGCAACGCTTCCGCAATAAGGTAAGAAGACACAAAATTTCAATATTTCACAAGAGTAAATTTTGACAAACGATAACGTGATTATAAATTCATTTTCGAAAAACCGTTCTGATATTAGAACTACAGTTCTCTGAAATCGGGATTGATTTTTGAAAGAAGAAAACAAAAATTACCGAACCAAGAACTTCTGGTATCTAGCGCACGAATGAAAGAGAAAACAACCTATTTAGAGTCCAAAAATAGTAGATATACTTGAGATCCATTTTTAAAACAAAATTCGTTTCAAGACAAAAAATTAAGATAGGAACTGAAACTAACAAAGATTATAGTGGAAATAAGAGGAAAACTTCTAACCTTGCATAGTTACAGACCCTGAAATAATTCAGTTTATAATATTTGCAAAACAATCTAAATCAAAGTGTCTAAAACACATTATGAACTCCAAATACCAAATTTCAGACAATTCTGTTGAAAGTTTCAGTTAGTTCTGCCAAAAATTTCAAATATTGAATTTTTTCCAATTTCATTGCAAATTGTAAACAAAACAAGTTTAAAACTGTCAGTCGGTATTGCCGACAGATGTGTACTCTCAGCCAAAGTTCGATTACACAAAATATATATTATGTTATAATTATTCAAATTGTTGACCCTCTATGGAGTAGGTTCCGATGGAATGGGCCAAAATGTACCATTTCATATCGGACCTAAATATATATTATATATAAATATTGTGAAGTGCCAGTTCTGGACTATATTGGTTACTTCCTTCACTTTGAATGAGATATGTTATAGTTTTCATTACAAAAAAATAGAAGATTTATATCCAGTTTATAAATTCCATATTCACCTCAGGTTTCTGGTTTAGAGAAATATTTAGATATAGCAAGTTGCAAAGAATCGCTGACGTGTTTCGCAAGTTTGACACATAAAAGTATTGAAAATTTTGACCCTTGGTGGGTGTGTTAGCAGAAATATTTGTATGTGTGAAATTTGAAGACAGTTGGATGCTTATTTCGCTTTCTTTAACCGTTTTGTTTTTCAAAATCTTGAACACTATGTGAGGGAGGTACCAGAAGAAATGTTCTGATCTCTATCATCTTTATAACTGATCTTGTGTTGATGGAAATATTAAGATGTATCAAGTCGAATGGAATCGGATTATAATATCGCGTTTTATGAGCTTCATGAACATTCATAAATTTGACCCTATATGGGGGAGGTACCAGAAGGAGTGGACCGGTATATTCCATGTTCACACCAGACTTCGGGTTCATAAAAATATTCTAATGTGTGTAATTTGAAGACAATCAGACTCTTATATCACATTTTATAAGATAATTATTCAAAATTTTGTTCCTTTGTGTGGGAGGTACTTCATGGAGTAGACCGATACTGTCCATTTTCCCACCTAACCTAGCACTGAGGCATATATTAGGATTTGCAAAGTTGGAGCAAAATCGGATTATACTTTCTCTTTATGTGCAGTAAAATATTTTTTTTTTTTTTTTTTTTTGTGAAAATTTTGATATTTTGTGGGGGAGGTACCGGAAGGAGTGAACCGATATTGCCCATCTCCGAACTCGATCTAATTTTTATAATAATACCGTATATACGTATCAAACCATATGGTTGATGGTATAAGAATCCATGTCTATTGGTTTTTACTTGAGAACTGTAGAGCGATTGCAAAATCTAGACAATTTTTAGGTTTTTGGTCCATTAAATATCTGTGAAGATATTCCAAAACAATGGGCTTCTATTTTGATCTTTGACCTAAACTTACTGCCATGCAAAATTTTGTGAATATCGGACTATAATTGCGACCTGAATATAATACGTAGTATTGTAAGGTGAAAAACATATTAAAATATTTTCAATTCAATATTGTAAGTCATATTGAAAAAATTTCATGCGATAAAAAAATATCGCATGAAAAAATAAAAAAATATTAACCCCACCTCCATGCAAAATTTTGGACCATAATTACAAGCGAATTACAGGACGAACACATATAGCTAGATTAACTCATGGAGATAGTAAGATCCATATATGACATCCTATGCCTTGGACCAATATTTCTAAGTGTAACGTATATACCCCCCCCCCCCCAAAAAAAAAAAAAAAAAAAAAAAAACAAAACTAAAATGCACGCTCTATAGTTGGTAGTAGTGCTTTCGTTGTCTTTTCTTTCCTTTCATCATTTACAACATTTGAACAAATTTAATGTTTTAAGAGGCGCGCTTATAACTTGAACTTGCACCATAATATAATTTTTTTTTTATTTTATTAATGGATTTAGTCAGCTTTATTTCAAAATTTAGATTCTCTTTCATATTTTTTAATAATTGGAATTTACTAATTAAAATTAACAAAATTATTGGAAAAGTTAAAAGTTTTGAAATTTTACAGATTTTGGGTCTTATGCCACACAGTCTTCTTAAAAAGGTAGACTATCACATACACACAGACGTTTAAATTGGAAATATACGAAATTTCAATGTTAAACTCATATTGAAAATATACTCCTTTTTCTCGAACTGTTTTAGGTATTCCCAAATCAAGAGGATCTGTTTTTCAAGAATATAGAAGTAGCTTTCAATGATCCACATGTGGAAAGAGTTAGAAGGTATGTTATGGAAAATATCAACGCCAATCATCAACTAATTTTTGAATTTTATTATTACAGAGCCCATCGCAATGATATGGAAAATATTCTGCCCTACTTCACCATGGCCTTACTTTACATTTGCACGGATCCAAATCCCACAATTGCCTGCAATCTGTTTCGCGTAGCCTCTGTGGCACGTATTATTCACACCTTGGTGTATGCCTTCCGTCCGGTGCCACAACCATCAAGATTTTTAGCTTTCTTTGTAATGTTCCTCATTACCATTTATATGGCAATTGTTGTTGGTTTTGAAAATTTGAAATATATTTAAATTAAAAGGCATTTCATTTAAATATTAAATGTTATTATTTTGTTCATTTGGTTTATTTTTTCTTTAATTTTAACATATTTTTGTTTTAATAAATTAAGCGTCGTTTTTTTCATATTAATAAAACATAATGACTACACATTGCTATAAAGAAGTTCTTTGAAATTTTTCATTTCGAAATGAACTCGAGATTTTGGGATAGAGTCATAAGAATAGAATACATTTTAACAGAAAATTAAGTAATCCAATTTGTTTGCTGCTACGAAACTATTTTAAATGTTAAATCCTTGTTCTCGCATGCATTTTTTGTGTGCCTCAATTAGATCGCCGCATTCCGATTCACCACGTTCGATAATACTGAAATTAGAAAAAAAAGGTTAGTAATACATATTGGTACATAAAAGTTCGAAGTTCTATCTTTAATATTGCGTTATATCGTTATTTAAACAAACGAACATGCCCAAATCAATTTTTTTATAGCTGTTTTCTTGATCAGCAACCCTTTGACTAAATTTGGAAATAGTCACACAACTGTGTAAACGAACAGGTGCAGTTTTGTCTTATCCACAAAAGTTCGTAATGCATATATATGTTTGCATAAATCAGGCGGTTTGGCCCAGTTCCTATTGTAATAATAAGTCTTATCTTAATTTTACAGCTTTGCAAGTAAAACTCAGTTATTTTAGAAAAAGCATTTCCGTTTTTTTATTTTATATCAAGTTGTAAAATTGAAGTATTTTCTCTTAATACTAAAAATAAATATTGTGCGTTAAAACTATTTCTATAATTATGCATTATTTACAGGTTGTACGCGTTGCAGCCATAGATCATATGCTATTGTACAATTTCTTTTGTCATTCAAAGGAAATTTCTTCAATTCATTTAATATGACAGACTCTGCCGAATTCAGATCTGCATTTTGATTTAGCAATTCTACCAGATCCCATAGCTTACATAAGCTATAATATTTGTAATTAAGCTTAAGTCTAAAGTTTTTTTTTAGGCTTGTCCTAATTTTATCAATTAATTTTCTCAGTTCCTCTTCTGGAACAACATATTTCAAATCATGTTGTAGTTTCAAAACACCCTGATGTATAGTCTGTATCAGACCTTCAAAAAAGTTTTCATTCTCGACTCGGAACAATATCGAGGCAATTTGTAACAAGGCGCTGGGTAGTTCATGACTAAATTCATGGGAGCGTACAAAACATTTGGCCGACAATTTGCGCACTTTTTCACATGGATGCCTTAGCAAAGACCACATAAGCTCACGAAATTCTTCCACCTTCTTTGGCGCTGTGGTTTCTTGTTTGTGAATGTATTCCACTTTGTGGAGAAATTCTAAAAATAAAATTATCGATCCGGTGGCAGTTTTCTCGGCAAGACAATAATTTAGAATGTATTCATAGGATAAATTAAATTTCCGTGTTATTTCACAAAATGTCACCTCCGAAGGTTCCCAGAGTAGCGCTTCTTCAAATTCCGTTGCCTGACGTTGGCCAACGATTTTTGGTACCAAAGCCCCCAACAGTTGTAGGGCAGCATTGCGAACCGTCCACTCGGGATTATCGATATGGGTGACTGCAGTCATCATAATGTCATTGTAATATTTCGACATTGCCTCTCTGAGTTCGGTGTCTCGTACTAAAACGCAGAGAAAGTGTAAATGTAGAGCTTCTATGCGATCACAATTGAAAGACGAATCCAAGGCAGTGTTATCATTTTTGGTTGCCATTAGAAGATTTTGCATAACTTTTCTTAATATGGGCCTGCCACGATTATCTTCATTTTTAACAATATGCAGAAACATAATTGAAAACCCTGCTCCTCTGCGTGTTGTGCTGACCTCCCTCTTGCCACCACAATCATAGAGCTTTTGCAAATATGTGTGAAATAATTCATATTCTGGACTCTTTTCGGGTAGCTGTGATGTTACGCATTTTGTTATTTTACCAATAGTAACGCCAGCAGCTTCTATGGCACCTTTATGGCGACACTTTGTTAAAACAATGACACTAATGTTGATGCATCTTTGCAGGAAGTCTAATTTGCCTTCATAACTTTGAGATGGTACCACAATTTCCGCCATGGATGCAGCTAAATCACAACAGGATTTAAGTGTCAGCCAAAATGACATGAGCAAATATTTACGTAATTGTTCATGGTTTTCACAAATGAATTTACTTTGTGCCACTAGTATTTCCAAACTTTTATCCATGTCCTCAAATGATGCAGCAGACAATTCTTCTGTCTCCGATTTATTGTTGCAAATATTTAGCATATTTAATATCATCAGTTCAATATTTTCTATTGTATCCAGTAGGTCCACAAAATTATCCAAAAATAAAATGGATTTGTTTTGTGCAAACTCATTTAGGACATTAATTGAACTATACAAATGCCATCCTTTGGTTTTACATACAAACAGGGGATCCTCTTTGAACACCGGCAATCTTTTTTTAATGCCACCCAATATGTGTTTAAATATATTCGCTATAAGATCATTGTCTTCCGAATTCTGTACCGCAACCCTGGCATAGAGAAAACTTAAATTTGCTTCATCCACATCGTTGACATTACAACATTCCATAGCTCTTTCTACAGCCTGCAGGGCAATGTTTTCATTTTTGCTTCTTATTATTCCTATGAGTTTTACAATCAAATCCAAAGCATCATCAAATCCACATGGATCATTTAGAAGCTGAAATAGGTTGTGGCAAATTTTGTCAGCATCAAATACGCCGTTTTGTTTCAAGAATTCAGCCAGAATTTGATTATGTTTTAGACAGCAATTTTTGGTGTTTCTGGTAACTGTTTCTCCATACAAAGATCGCACTAAGATTTCCAAGAGTTTTAGGCCATAGATTTTTGGTTGATATGCCTCCTGGGAAATACCAAATTCTACATCATTTTGTAAATTTTGAAAGAATTCTACCACACTAGACTCCAAATCATTCTCCGCATTATTTCTGCTATATAACTTTGCAATGTGATTTATAATGATGGCCATTTTGGCCAAAATTGTATTACGAAATTGTGCATTTTCCACCTTCATATGAGATCTTGCAAAATCCACAAAGAACCTTAAACAATTTTCAATTTTTAAATTATTTAAATTCTCCACCACAAATTTATGTATGACCAACTGTGATTCCAAATCATAATGGGGGTAGTTATTCAAATATTCATCGCCCAGTTTTGTAAAATATTCACTGGATGTTTGTAGAATTTCTTTGGCAAAAATGGTATGCAAGAGGACATAACGATAATTCTTTGTGCTATCATCACAAATATCTTTTGCTGCTATGTCTTTCCAAATCATTTTGAATAGCTCTTCTCTTTGTTCTATACGTGTAAACCATTGAAGGTGAAGATTTCTGATTTCCTGCATAGAACCATTTTGCAAGATATCACTGCACATCATTAGGAGATCTTTAGATCTTTGTCCACTTAAGGCTTTAATTAAATGCTGACTAGCGGGCAGTAAGTTTTTGTAACACAATGTCGATCGAATTCCCTTAAAGAATTCAGCTCTGTTGCAACCGCTCTTAGCTATCAGCTCCTCCAGGGAGTTCTTATTCAATATTGCGGCCAGCATGTAAAGCTTGGTTCGATATGTCCAGGGCCAAAAGTTTACAATTCGTATAAAATAATCCAAAGCTCTGTTGCGGCACAAACACACCCGTTGTAAAAATGTTAACATTTCATCTCTCATGCCCAGTTGATTGGATTGTAGACAGAAATAAATATGATCCAGAGACAAGTCCTCATTAGTCACATCCATATCTGGCCATTTCTTAAAAATCAAATTGAGACACTTTAAAACGTCCAATAAGTGAGTATGATTATAATCTACAGCATTGGCAAAGGCCATAAGACAGATTTGTTTAATGTCTTGGGGGTGCATATGCGTAGTCTGTTGACAAGTCAGCAAGATATAATATAAAATGACAAAGTTCTCTTTCCTCCACTCCAATGTTGTTCCCTGGACATAAGCATGGAAATAATTATCTTTAATATCATATTTCTGTATGAATGTGAAATACAGGCGGAAACAAACATTCACAGTAATTTGATTGTAGTTTGTACAGCACCCTTCAGCTTCATCTCGGTCGAGTCGAAGCTCCTTTTCAATAATAGATCTGATATGTTTAACTACATGTTCCGCATCTGATGGGTCTAGTGGTATATTATTTAGGGACTAAAAAATAAATAGTACTTTAGTTGTTTTGCTTCTTTTCATTTGCCAATTCGTGCCACTGTCCTCACCTGCACAAAACGTATACTCTCCGTAGGGTTAATATCATCGATGTTGGGTGGTAAATTTTGTATTTTAGTCTTCTCCATTTTGATGAGGTTTTAGGATGAATTGATGTTTTCCAGAGGGGGGTTATTTTCAAGGAAAACAATTATACGCGAGACCGTAGTATTTTTAATTCAATTTCATTCAATACTTTATTTTTTTTTCCTGTTTCACATGTTATCGACTGACCATATGAGCTGTAGGGTTACCACACTGTTAGAAAATATCTAATGTTGGTAGTGATGCCATTTTAGAGATTACTCGAGTAATCGTTAGGTTTTGATTTGACCAAAAGATTACTTTTTGTAGTACATTTTTTTATAATCATTATTTTCTTTTTTTATTGTTTATCAATAATTACAATTATTTTATTAATTAATGTAATGATAATAAATGATATAAATGAGTAGCTACGGAAATAAAACGCCACCTGACATTTTCAAAAATATGATATTTGAATAAGTTGGAGCTCCATATAAAATTGAACCGAATAATAATTTAAATGTACAACGTCCGGAAAACTCTATACAATTATATACGCCAAAAGAAAGTGTGGCCATTCCTAAATCAGTTCTGAAAGCGATTCTAATTTGGTTTAAGGTTATACAGCTACACCGAAGTCCGTTTCTCTCGGAAACTTTTGGTCTGTTGTGTTCATTCTCGGAAGAATTGAGTTGTTGGCGATAGTAGAGGTATTGAAACGAGAAAGAGAAAAAAGAGTTTATAGGGAGAAGTATAGTTAGCAAGGAGATCTGCCAAGCCAAAAAATGCTTTTAGCAAATGATAATGGGATCTATGACTGAGAAGTACGTTAGTGTTCTTGGAACATTGTTATCCCATCTTGAGGTCAGATATCTCATACTGCAGTAGGCCTACCGCGATTCCTAGATCAGACCAACTAAATTATACAAAGGAGCACTTCTTCTTGCGATTTCCGGCCAGATGGCCTTAGACGCTCTGCAAACAAGTGTTTCCAAGTGCCATTTTCTTCCAGCTTAAACAACAACAGCTTTTCTGTGGTTTCAAATCAATTGGTATATCAATCGACTGAGTTAAATAAAGGTAGAAGAAGGATAGACGGCGTTTCCATTGATAAAATGAAAGTGTCGCTAAGTTCTCTCTTCCGCATGCATGCGAATCCCCAAAAAGGCGACGACTGCGGAAAACCCCTGCCAATAGGAAAAAGTGGTACGGAAAAAGACTGGACCAAAGAAACCTTTAAAGAAGTCCTCTGAGATACCAAAAACGGAGGTACTATACTCCAAGGCAATGAAAGGCAAGGCTGAGGTAAAGTCAACGGGGCCGCAGACCACTAAAAAGACTTCCGGAAAAAAGACAATCACTTATTTCCTCACCTCACTATGTTGATATATCCTTCATCTATTAGGAAGAGGTGTCCCTTGCAAATAAGAATAGCTCTCGACTAGCGACATATACTGTCACTGGTGCAAAGATATCTTACTATTTTAATTGCATGAATCTTCATCTGTAGAACACTGCAATTATCTTTAAATTTATATGACCAACTAATAATTGGAATAGGTCGGAATACGTCGGCATCGGCGGTTTCACCCATTTGGAACCGTCTGTGTAAATAGAGGACCAAACGTCCCTATCAGGTATTGATACTATTGTAATCGCTAATTTAATCTCTTCATCTAAGGAATTCGGAGTGGTTTCAGCGCACACGTTACTGCGTGAAATTGTGCTAAAATATCCAGTGACTGGAACTATAGCATCACATTCAATGCAGATTGTTATTGCTCTTGAGAGCTCATGTTGTCAGTAAGGACGTGGCTCTCTCATCTATGGTTTAGGGGTTTTGAAGACAGTGCAGTTAATTTAAGATTTCAAATGGCGAAGAGGAGAAGAATACAAAATCCCAACCTAAAGACAATGTAGATGGAAATACGAATACTCTTCATTAGGCACTAAATTATTGTATTTTTCAATCGTTCAGGCCCTATACCAAACTCTGGGTCCATCTTGCAGTAAATTTTGTAAACATTAAAAATTACAGTTAGATTCTTATGTCATAGCAATGAACAGAATAGAGGCCTGCTTCATTCTAATCCAAAAATGTTGTCGAAAAATAATCATTTTAGTGAATTTTAATTATTTTGCGATCAATCATGGCATAATTATTCAGAAAATAGATAAGAATAAATATGACAATTATTATCTTCAAATGGAAAACACGTAATAGGTAGATATTTGTCATATGAATTGTGTTTCTATGTCGTCATTACCAACATGACTTTCCATTTTCCCAAATAAAAGGACAGTGAACATTTTTGTTAATCTTTCCAAATCTCTCCAAATCATCGATAAGGTCTAATTTTTGGCTTTTTTAAAAATACCAAATCAAAAACAAATAAAAATGGTATTTTTCCTTTGAATTCGTTCTCTTTCGAAATTCATAATCAAAACGAAGTTCCGAAATTGAAAATGAATTTAAAAAAAATCTCTTTAATTAAAAGGAAATCTTAAAATAGCCAACATGTAGGACCCCTGTTATCCATATTACGATACCATAAAACATAGTCTAATTTTGGCTTTGATTACCTTCAATAAACAATGATAAATATAAATAGAAAAAAATATGTTTATGGACATGAAATTTGCATATAACAATATTTTCAAGCCATCAATGAAAATCTTAAAATAATGTGATCATAATCAAATATTGTAGATTTCTTCACTGTTGCATACTTTTACATTTTGCTCTATTGGTTCATATAATCGAATGCAATTTTCTGTTAATACCAGAGAGAAATAAAAAAGTTTCTAGGAATTTGGTTACAATTCTTGATGGACAGGCACACTAGCAATTTCTACTTAATTCGTGGAAATATGAGCGAATAAGTATGGACACTACTAAGAGATATGGCCAATATTTCAAGGTGTTGCAAATTACCTGACGAAAAAACCTGTAATAACCTGCCCTGAATAAAGACTAAATAGGTTGTTCGCATCAAGATTCTTTAAGAGGCAGTAAATGATTTAAGAATGCAGGTAACCCACAAAGATTTTTGTGAATGCTCGATTAGACTGCATGCAAATTTGTTTTTGCAATCTGCAATTTCTACAAATATTTACATCATATCTAAAAACTTACCATTGATCTCGAACTTTTTTGGTTTCCGGACAAGCACAGCACGCCTTGCATTTTGGTTTGGCAGCAGGAGCTTCCACGGTACTGCTAGTGGCAACTTCTTTTACAGGAGCATTACCCATTGCTAATGTGTTTTATACTTGGTTTTGGGGTTGTGTAATCTAACAAGAATATTCTGGAAATATGCAATGTGCCCGATGATGAATTTAAAAAAAATAGACACAACAAATTGTTATTATTTTTTTGTTTACATAACAATTTATTTATGATTTTATTACCAATTTCACAATTGTTTAGATTTTTTATATTATTTTAACCACTCTTTCTTGAATCAAGAACCAAACTGACAGTTGTCACACGATATGAAACCCTCCGTGAAATGAATAGCAGATAGAGAGAAGAGAGAATGTTTGAAACAACAGGATGATTCATAGAACAAATAAAATTGTAGAAAATATTTAAATGTTTTCAACGTATCTTTATATTAAAATTTAAAAAATGTTGTTAAATTTATACACTCGAAGTATTAAATATTTAATTATTGTAGTATATTTGTTATAGTATAATCAATTTCTTTATATATCATCATCCTTTAGTAGATTTCTTAAAGGTGCTATCACTTCGACATGCATACCAACTGATTCCAACAAAAAAAGAAGAAGAATCAACTTGACAAATCCAATCAAAACAAAAACAAAGAGCACGTGTAAACAAAATCAATAGCTCGCATAATAAATAAAAATGGTAAGTTTTCTAATAAAAAAATACATATTATATTGGAGATAATAATAAATATAATTTTTTAGACAAATCTACGCAAGGAACTCGAGAAATGTAAACATCCCAACAGTCGCAAAACCAAGGCTCTGAGTAAGAAAGCCCGACGCCAAAATAACAAACATAAACAGCGACTGGGACATGCCATTAAATCCAATTTAATGGGAGAAAAGTTGACATGGTTTCTGGAACACATCGAGGAAGGACGTAAAAATCCACTGACACCTGTTGAATTTGAAGAACTTATTGAACTGTATTTGAAACGCTTTGGCGAGGAACTTGAACAGATTGCATTGAAGCAATCCATTAGCAAAAATAGAGCCAATCAACACAAAGCCCGGCAAGATGTCATTAAGATCACACTGGAAAAGGAGATCAATGAGTACAAGGCTGGTGGAATGGGTAAGTGAACACCTCAAAAAATTAGCGATTTTCTAATGAAATTCTAATTTTTTTCCAGAAATGTTAAACCTTTGCGATCCATTCAAATTTAAATCACTATTGGATTGGGATGGCAGTGCCATCAATGTACAACATTTAAAATTGGATTTAGTGTCGCACAATATGCTGCAGAGGCTTAAAAAAGAATACGAAAAATCCAAAGAAGCCAACTCTGAAGCCACCACATCAGCTAGCCAACAATCTGAAGAAGTCATGGAAACATCGTAGTTAAAAATATAGATTAATTTTTAAGACCAAATAATGTTGTTTTAATGTACAATTAAAAACTGGAAAATAAAATTAGCTTAATCTCCTCTTATAACTGGGTCGCCATCCAATTTCTTAAGATTTGGTAAACGTCGTATTGCCTCACTGCGAAAGGTGCTCTCTTCCATTGATTCATGCAATGGATTGCCAACAAATGAAATCTCTTCCAATTTTGGGGCAGCACCCATACGATTGAATTCAGCCCAATCCTTAATAGAGTTGTTCGATATATAGAACACCTTTAAAGCCTTCACAACTTCAATCGGTTTAATTTTCTCTATGGCATTATAGCTAACCCAAAGTTCTTCCAATGTATCGGCTAATGGTTCCTGGAAGCGGGTAAATTAATAAAATGTTCATAAATCAATATGTTGGTCCCATACAATGCCATTAATAGCCTTTAAATTATTACGGGCCAATGAGAGTATGCGTAGATTCTTCAAATTACCAATTCCAGTAATTTTCTCAATCATATTCGATGACAGACTCAGTTTACGACATTCTAATAAGGTATTTAAAGTTCCATCCATTTTCTCAATTGGCGGCCATTGAAATTGTAAACCAATGTCAACGGCTTTTGTCGAGTCTTCCATGGTACGTTCTTCCCATTTTGTTAGAGCTTCTTTGATCGTTGTGGCTTTTGCCATTTGTTTATAATTTTACCTATTATTTTAAATTGTTTCATTTTGAAAGATATTGCAAGGCTTGAAATAATTTTTGTAACTGGATAGGTGTAACCAAGCAATCAGTATAGCTGGGCCCAATTTTATATGGCCTGCAGCAAGGAAAGCTTTTGTTATTTTTAAAATTCCTGAAATGTATATCAAAACCTGAAATATCTCAAAATGTGCCCAGGCCTTTCAAAATTTTAATGACTTTATTCGGGAGCCTGAAACTCGAAACCACAACAAATTTCTAATACCTCCAAAGTACCGAAAATCGGGAAGAAACTATGTATAAAATAGTAGAGTAATTCATCAACTGGCTGATCCATCAATGTCCTGGCGAAACGTTAGTGGGTAGGTGTGAGATAAGGCTGGGTTCTTTGGAAATTCGGACTAGAAGTGTACTTAAAGGGAGTAAAAATGGAAAAATTCTGAAATTTGGAATATGTTTTTTTTTCTTTTAAATTTGACTATAGGTGTACCAAAAATTTCTCAATTTGGTACAATTTGGTATTATGTGAATGGATGGAGCATAAATCTTGACATTAGGTCTGAGAATTGAGTAGGTTTGATATAAAGTGGTAGTTTTGGAAATGTGTGCTAAATTTGATACAATTTGAGTTTGGGTGAAAGAATAGAGCTTAAATTTTAAAATGTTAATATTGGAGTCTCGGTTAGTGTGTAGGGTTAAGATTTGACGGTGGCTTTGGAAATATGTATTAAATTTGGTTTATGGGGAAGGGAATTGGAAATCTGAAATTTGGTATTTGGCTCACTTTTTTTTGAGGACGGGTTGAGATACGTAGGTGTTTTGGAAAAAGGTACTTTAAAAGTACCAAATGGTATTAAACTTGGTATTTGGGGAAGGAAAAAGCGGATAATCTGGAAATTTAATTGAGCATCTTTGATGTTGTCTAAAACAGATGAAACAAAAGATTTTGAAAATTCAAATAATAAGTTTACCAAAAGTTGTAAAATTCCCAAAATTTGGTAGTATTTAGAATTATGTAAACGGATAAAGGTAAAATCGTAATAAACACTTTTGGTACCATATTATTCGAATATTTTTGATCTGTTCCAGAATAGCAAGAATGTAAAAGTTGTTACTATGATAACCGATTTTCTATTTAAATTTGACGAAATTAGATGGAAAGAATTTGGACAACAACTAAAGAGGCAGCCAAACGGGGTTAATTGCGCGGCGTGCATTTTAATACCGTTTCTGAAAGAAAATAAAAGTATTTTATCGTTTTTCAAGTATATTTAATTAGTTTTGAGATCGAAAAAAATCAAATATATGAGCACAACTTGTTGCATATAATTTGAATAATTCTAACAGGGAGCTGGCATAGCCTTAGTTTTGTATTTCAGTAGCTAGGCTTAATACCATATGCATTGAAAACAATTTAAATGGTTTCGAATTAGATATGAATATTTTTGGAAGAGTTATTCTATTCTTTTAATAATATATTGTTTATTCCCTATGGAAATTGTCCAAAAAGTATGGAATAAATTAAAAAAGAGAAATTTAGCATATCGCAGGTCGTAATGATTTATTGATTTACTTTTTTTCAAAATATATTGTCGGTTATAAAGTAATTATTTAACGTAAAGATCAAATTCAGTGCTCTCCATTAAAGGTTCTCAACAATACGATCTTGTTCTCTTGATTCATTTTATTTTGATAGGTACTTTGCAGCAAACTGTCAAAAAAAAGTATCTGTGATTCAAACCAGCTAGCACCCCAGGTGTAGTGTGCCGTCGTCGTTGCTTAATTCAAAACAACTTTATGTTAATTAATGAACATACATCGGGACGAAGAAGAGTGGAGAACTACGTAGAAAGAACGAAACGAATATCAGAAGTTTAGTTGCTTACGTTTTCTTGGCTTTGGCGGACGTGTTTTCTCTTCTCTGGACATTCGGATTCGAATTAAAAAAGAAAAAACAAGAGAAAATACAAATCGGCTGTAAAAAAATACTTAAGTTAAATTAAAAAGTCATAATAAAAGTGTTTTTGTGCCCATTAATACAAATATAATGTCAGCCCATATCTTGAGAAATCGCAATGCCGTAGCTCTACTAAAGAAATATCTGCCACATCAAGTGAACAACAGCAGTGTGATCAAAGTAATTCTTAATTACAAATTAATAATCTATTTGATTTTAAGTGTATCTTTTCGTAAAAATTAAATGTTTTATTCTAGTACAAAAAAAATATCAATTCATTACATAATTTTGCGATAATTTCTCTGTTCACCTAACCATCCATTCGTTCGCTCGGTGGGAGAATCGTTTGGAAAAAATGCGTACAATTAAAAATATAGGAAATCTGTCAGTTTTGCACAAACAACCACCGGGAGAACCAAAAAACAAAACAAGTTGAGCAAGCACGAGAACTCTCATCTTTTGGAGAGAGATAATAGTGCTGCTATCTGTCTGTGCATTGTATGATGAATGGAGACATGAGACAGATAGAGGGGAACGACGAAGAACACAATAAAACTTGACAACAACATGGACTCCAGCGAAAAGACCCCACTAACATGTGTTTATCAGGTGGTGCTGCCAACCGGCCGTGCCCCCAATACTCTTGCGTCCTGCGGTGACGATCGCACGAGGGGGTTCATTTTAGAAGAGAGTGAGAATAACATTTAAAATTCTCGCTTGTTTACCTTAGTTACACATTTGATTTGATAATTTTATTTTATTTCGAGTCACCAACTGGACAATTTAAAAAAATATTATCCGTTAAAAACAATGTTTGAATTGTTTAATAATTAATAATAGAATTATTATCGGTAAATATATTTAATATTTATATACTCAAATGTTTGGGGATGAAACCAACAGCTTTGGTTAAATCTGTCAAAATACTTAAAAGTTATTTTTTGTTTACGAAACTTAGCAGTGCGCATATATATTTTTTATAAATTTAGGATTTTTTATAGATTGAAAGAAGTGTGTTTAATTTTGACCAAAGTGAAAATCAAGCAAACATCCCAATATAAATAAATTCACAAAAATGGAAATTACATATAGCTTTGAAATCAAGATCTCCAATTGCATCAGATTATCTATATATTTGAAAAAGAATAGTGAAATAACTGACTGTCTGATCAAGAATTAACGCCCAGAGGGAGCGGTTGAAACAAGAAACCTGAAATTTTCATATGGGTCAGTGTAGGCGCGTGATATGGCTGCCTTTTTGAAAATTCGTACTAAAAGGGTATGAAAAGTACAAACAGAATGAGCTAGAATTCTGAAATTTGGAATGAAATTTACTAACGGACTGCAGGATAGATGTACCAAAGAGTTTTTAGAAGTTCGAACATTCTTTAAGGTTGCGAAAAGTCCTAAAAAATAATACCATTTGTTATTATATGAACGGAATAAGTCAAAAACTTGAAATTCGGTATGAGAATCAATGTTGCAAAGAAGGTTTAATGGATAGGGTGGCTTAGGAAAGGTGTACTAAGTATGCGAACTGTACTAAATGGCACTAAATTTGGAAGAGTTAGGTATAAAATGGATGAAGGTGGAATTTTGAAATTTTCTGATAAAGAGGTTTCCGATAAGGAGGTGGTTTTAAAAATGTGCACTACAAGCGTACGAAAAGTACTAAATATCTGTATATTTGGTACAATTTGGTATTGGTTGAATATATAGTGCTAGAAATCTGAAATTTGGTATTAGGGTCGCTGTTCATGTGTAACCTAGATATACAGGATGAGATTAAAAAAAATGCAACAAAGTCAAACGTCATAATTTTTAATTTTTTTTTAATTTTATTGAATGAAAGAAACAAATGCCGGAAATAGCATCCAATTTTGGAATAAGTTTAGATTTGTTCGAATTGGTCACCTTTGGCACGAATTATGGACTTCAAACGACCAAATGAAACCGTCACACGTTGCCCGAATGTTGCTCTGCGGTATTTTGGTCCATTCCCGCCGAAGCGCTTGCTTGAGGTGATCGACACTTTGGTATATTTTAGTGCCAAACTTGCTTTCAAAAAAATTCCCCAGACATAGTCCAAAGGATTGGTATCCGAAGAAATTGGTGGCCATTGTGCGCTGGAAATGAAGCGAGGAATCTCATTTTGTAACCATTCTTGGGTGGCGCGTGCTGAGTGCGATTGTGCTGAATCCGTTTTGGAATCTCCAAGGTCTGCGGTCAAAATGTTTTACGTGCCCAAGGCTTTAATACACCCTCCAGAATATTTTCGCGATAATCTACGGCATTTATTCTGATGCCACAGTCGATAAATACGAGCCGAGAGCGACCATCGGCTGTTATGGCGACCCACACCATCACCATGGCCTGCGCTTGAGTTCACATTTTCAGCTTACCTCTTTGGCAAGTAAACACAAAACCCAAACCCAAACCCAAATTCGGCAGTTCACCACTTTCGGTCAAGCGAAGCAACTCTTTAGCCCTTTTGAGTCTATTTTCTTTTTGTTGCGGTGTTAGTTCTTGCACTTTTTGGAACTTCAATGGCTTTAACCCGAGCTCATTTTTCAATATTTGCCAAATGGAATATTGCGATATGTTCACCTCACGTGCAATTTTTCGGCCACTGCGACGCGGGTTTCGTTCAAGTCGCTTCTTTACTTTTCGAACCATTTCTGCTGATGTTGCTATTTTCTTCCGTCCACTTCCTTGACGTCGGGCTACTCCACCAGTATCACGGTAACGAGCGATGGTACGAGACACAAAAGATTTATTCACATTTATATGCAGCGGTGCTCTAACGATAGGCACTTGTGGTTTTCCAGCCAAATATAAAGAGTCACACTATCCCGTTTGAATTCCATCATGAATAAGTTTGTTACTGGAAAATTCTCACCAAAATGCTTTTGTACGCTTGTAAACAATATTATGAGCTGTCACTTGAATAATTTTAATATCTGTCGGACGAGTGGCTTAGAAGTGACAGCAGTCTGAAGTCGGCTGCAGTTTTTTCATCTCACCAAAGTAAGACTTTATATTAAAAAAAACCAAAAATACTCACTTGCGGGTTAAACTCTCTTAATTATTTGCAATATTTCCGAATACGCTATATTTCAAGATTCCAAGGAATTGTAATCCGAAAATGTCTTAAAGTGTGAAATTGGGGTAACTTACTCCATCAAAACGCCGAATCATGTGTCATCGATTTTTATATCTACTGTCAAAGATTTTATCATCTATGATAAAATTAAACTTTACAATTTGAACAAATAGTTGTTAACATATTTTAAAAAAAAAAACATTGTTTATTTCAGGCTAACATTCTGCAGGAGCAATTCCGTTGTTTGCATTTAACGCCATGTCTGGATAAAATTGTCTCATTCAATCTCAGTGATATCGGAGAAGGAATTCGTGAAGTTACTGTTAAGGAATGGTAAGTAATATCAGATTGAATTAATATCTTAATTATTAAAAAAATAAAATGCATTTGTTCAACAGGTTCGTCAAAGTCGGAGATACCGTAGAGCAATTCGATAACCTCTGTGAAGTACAATCGGACAAAGCATCTGTCACAATTACCAGTCGTTACGATGGTAAAATTACCAAACTCCATTACAACGTGGATGATGTTGCCTTGGTGGGTAAAGCTTTGTTAGATTTTGAAGTTGATGATGAGGATGGTGATGATTCGGATAGTTCAGACTCAGATGATGAGGCCAGCAAGGGTAAAGCTGCCTCGGATGACAAAAAATCTGGTGATAACAAACCTGTGGCTGCCACTGATGAAGAAGTCAATCGTCACATTACCTTGGCCACTCCTGCTGTCAGACGTATTGCCAAAGAAAATAAAGTTGATTTGTCCAAAGTCAAGCCAACCGGTAAAAATGGTCGTGTCTTGAAGGGTGATGTTTTGGAATATTTAGGCATGGTACCGGCTGGTACAAATGTACCACATCCCACCATTGCTGCCAAGAATCTGCAAACAACACCAGAATGTGCTGGCAAAGCAGCAGCGCCTGTGCCAGCCGATCGTGTGGAGCCATTGAAGGGTGTGCGCAAGGCCATGCTTAAGTCTATGACGGAGTCATTGGTAGGTGTAGCTCTTTTAAATTATTTAATTTGAAAATTAATTATCTTTTTTTATTTCTTTAGAAAATCCCCCACTTCGCCTATAGTGACGAGATCGATATGACCCGCCTCATGGAGTTCCGTAATCAATTGAAGGAAGTTGCCAAGGAAAATGGAGTTGATAAACTAACATTCATGCCCTTCTGCATTAAGGCTGCCTCCATAGCTTTGAGCAAATACCCCATTGTTAACAGTTCGTTGGATGAACCAAATGAATCCATTATTTACAAGGGTGCTCATAACATTAGTGTGGCCATTGATACACCTCAAGGATTGGTGGTGCCCAATGTCAAGAATGTCCAAATTAAGAACATCATTGAAATTGCCAAGGAATTGAATGATCTGGTGGAGAGAGGACGCAAGGGCTCTCTGACACCTGCAGATTTTGCCGATGGTACATTCTCTTTGTCGAATATTGGTGTGGTGGGTGGCACCTATACTCATCCCTGTATAATGGCGCCCCAGGTTGCCATTGGTGCCATGGGTCGTACTAAGGTTTGTCTGAAATGTTTGAACATTTTTCATTAAACGGTTTAATTATCAAAGTTCAATTTCAGGCCGTCCCTCGTTTCAACGAAAAGGATGAAGTTGTCAAGGCCTACATTATGAGCGTCAGTTGGTCGGCCGATCATCGTGTCATCGATGGCGTGACCATGGCCAGTTTCTCCAATGTTTGGAAGAAATACTTGGAAAATCCTGCCTTATTTTTGCTAAACTAATTTGTTGAGACGAACAAAATTCAACCTAAATATCTTCCAGAAAAGGCTGTTGTTTTGCATTTATTTGGTTTTTGAGAACTAAGTAACAAATTCTCAAAACTAGAAACATAAAATTTTTAGTTTTATGTGTATCCTGTTGTAGTAGAACCGGTTTTCTGTAACTGTTTAAAGTGCATTTATAGTGAAAATATTTCGTTTAATTTTAAGATTGGTTACAGACAACCAAATGGTTTTAATTATTATTGATCCCGCCTCTTCCTTTTCCAGTTGTTTTCAAATCTCTATATTGGTTTAAGTGATAACAAAAAGAAACATAAGAAAGTAACAATATTAATATAGAAATAAAATTGCATTTATTTTACAGAACGAATGCGGAATTGTTTGTTTTTAAAGTTAAAAAAATGATCTGTTATTCCTATCTGATCCAAGATATACGCAACGAAAAGGCTAAAGCTATATTCTTGAAATTTTGCTCGAGGGTCAGACTTCCTGCGTAGGCATGTGTTAAAGCTGGGTTTTTGGAAAAACATACTAAAAGAGTACGGTACTAAAATGTACTAAAAATTAAAAATATTTATTGGACAAACGGAATGAGCTAGAATTCTAAAATTCGGAATGAGTCACTGATGGAGTGCAGGACAGATGTACCAAAGGTTTTTTTTGGAAATTCAAACATTAAGGTTACCAAAATTACTGATGGTACTAAATTTGCAAAAAATGGTTCTAAACATCTAAAATTGTACCATTTGGTAATATGTGAACGGATAGAGGTAACAATTTGAAATTCGGTATGAGAATAAGCTTGATATATAAAGGTGATTTTGGAAATGTATACTAAATGTGCGAAGTGTACTAAATGTTGCTAAATTTGGACCAATTTGGTTAGTGTGAACGGATGAAGCTGAAATTTTGAAATTTTTTATTGGGGTCCCTGTTGGGGGTAGGTTTGTGATAAAGAGATGGTTTTGAAAATGTGTGCGCTCAAGTCCACGAAAAGTACTATATAGTACCATATTTGGTACAATTTGGTATTAGAGGAACATATAGTGTTTGAAATCTGAAATTTGTGTAGCCTGGAGGTGCTTTCGGAAAAGTGTACTACAATTGTTCGAAAAGTGCTAAATGGTACTATATTCGGTATTGGGTGAAGGAATAGAGTTGAAATCCTGAAAATTGATATTTATATTGCTAATGATATCTGTGTTTGAGATTTGGCGGTGTTTTGGAAATGGGTCCAATATTTGTACGAAAAGTACTAAATAGTACTACATTTGGTATTGGGTGAAGGAAGAGGGCTGGAATCCTCAAATTTGATATTAAGGTATCTCTTGGTATCAGAAATTGGGAAACCGAGGTGGTTTTGGAAATGTGTACTAAAATTGTACGAAAAATTCTACATAGAACTGAATTTGGTATTTTATGAAATAACGATTTTAGACACTCAGGACATTTTGAGTCTATCTAGCGGTTTCTGTCAGCCTATCTGGCTAGCTGGTGTGCACGATAACTTTCGAAGTGAGTATCCGATTTGGTCCAAATAGGGTTCATCGTACTATTACACTGTCCGACAAAATTCAATTTTCAGAATAATTACGGGATATTCCAGCAGAGTATGAAATTAGAGCTTTAAAAAGAAGACACGTGTCACTGTTGGAATTTTCGGTTTGCGATTTCTACGAATCCCTGCATTATAGATTTTTAGTGCCTTCGGCAATATTGCAGAGAAACATGCGAGGTTTATTTTTTTCCATAATTGTTATATCCTGTACCATGCTATGGAGGCTATATTAACCTTGCCATTTCGTTTGTAACTTCTCGAAATACTCATGTCAGACCCAACAGAGATAAAAAAAATGCAACCAACATCAGACTGCTGCCATTTCTAAGCCACTCGTCCGACAGCTGTTGAAATTATTTCAGTGACAGCTCATTATATTGTTTGCAGGCGTACAAAAGCATTCTGGTGAGAATTTTCCAGAGAAAAAATTAATCGTGATGAAATTCAAGCGTGATAGTGTGATTTCTATATATTTGGCTGGAAAACCACAAGTGGCTATCGTGAGAGCACTACAGCATTTAAATGTGAATAAATCTTTTGTGTCTCGTACCACCGCTCTTTACTGTGATACTGGTAGCCTAGCCTGACGTCAAGGAAGTGGACGGAAGAAAACAGCAACATCAGCAGAAATGGTTCGAAAAGTTAAGAAGCGACTTGATTGAAACCCGCGTCGCAGTGACCGAAAAATGGCTCGTGAGCTGAATATATCGCAATATTCCATTCGGCAAATATTGAAAAATGAGCTCGGGGTAAAGCCATTGAAATTTCAAAAAAAATCCAAGAACTTACAGAAAGAAAATAGACTCAAAAGAGCTAAAGAGTTGCTTCGCTTGGCCGAAAGTGTTGAAGTGCCGATTTTGGTTTTCTCCGATGAGAAAACATTCGTTGTCCTGCAGTTTGTAAACAAACAAAATGATCGTTTTCACTTGCCAAAGAGGTAAGCTGAAAATGTGCACATTCGGTTGGCCACCAGAACTCAAGCGTCGGCCATGGCGATGGTGTGGGCCGCCATAGCAGCAGATAGTCGCTCTCCGCTCGTATAATTCAACCGTGGCATCAGAATAAAATGCCGAATATTTGCTCGAAAATATTTTGGAGGGTGTATTAAAGTCCTGGGCATGCAAACATTTTGGCCGCAGACCTTAGACATTCCAACAGGACTCAGCACCGCCACCCAAGAATGGTCACAAAATAAGGTTCCTCGCTTCATTTCCACCGTACCGTAGCCACCAAAATCTCCGGATACCAATCCGTTGGACTACTGTGTCTAGAGTATTTTGGAAAGCAAGGTTGAAACTAAAAAAATACCAATGTGTCGATTACCTCAAGCAAGCGTTTCGCCGGGAATGGGCCAAATACCGCAGAGCAGCGTGTGCCGGTTTCATTGGCCGTTTGAAGGCCATAATTCGTGCCAAAGTTGATCGATTCGAACAAATCTAAACATATTCTAAAATTTGATGCTATTTCCGACATTTTTTGCTTTCATTCAAAAAAAATACTACCATACTATGGAGGGTATATTAATTTTGTCATTCCGTTTGTAACTCCTCGAAATATTCATGTCAGACCCAACAAAGTATATATATTCTTGATCAGCGTAAAATTCTAAGACGATTTAGCCATGTCCGTCTGTCTGTCTGTGTGTCTGTCTGTCTGTCTGTTGTAATCACGCTATCTTTCGAACAAATTGAGATAGAAGGCTAAAATGTATATTTTCCCAGTAGGGAGGTTAAGTTCGTAAATGGGCCATGTAGGCCCAGTTTTCATATAGCCCCATATAACGGTACCTCCCGATATTCGGTATTTTGATGATTTTAGCGACATTATTCACTGGAATTATTTCAATTTTGGTATTTGAAGTTCGTAATGGATACTACAGCTTAAGACAGAAAATTATCTGTGCAGGTCCACGTCTTCATATAGCCCCCACATAACGGTACCCCCCGATATTCGGTATTTTAATGATTTTAGCGACATTATTTACAGGGATTGTTTCAAATTTCGCATGTGAAGTTCGTAATGGATACTTCAGCCCATGCCAGAAAATTGTCTGTGCAGGTCCACGTCTTCGTATAGCCCCCATATAACGGTACCCCCCATATTCGGTATTTTGACGATTTTAGCTACATTATAAACAGATTTTTCTTCAAGTTTCGCATTTAAATATTGTAATAATTTATGACAAAAGTTGCCTATGCAGGCCCACGTCGTCGTATAAGCATTCGGTATTTTTAAGATTTTAACTGAAATTTTAACGGTTTTTTTTTTGGAAATTGCCAAATTTGTACCAAATGGTGGAGGGTATTAAAAGTTCGGCCCGGCCGAACTAACAGCTTTTTTACTTGTTTTATCTCACCCTGTATTAGTTCTCTCTGAAATCAAACTATAACTGCTCTAAAACCAAATGTTGATAGGTGGTATGATCGACTTCAAATAAATTATTTTATTACAGGGGTTCTACTAAATATGCATAGTGGTGTAGTGTATGATATAGTCGGCCCCGCCCGACATTTGACTTTTTCTTACTGGTTGTTAATAAAACCTTGTTAATTTCTGAAAAAATTAGCACCATTCCCAATTTACTGCAATTATTTTTATACCCTCCAGGGTATATAAGGAGGGTATATTAACTTTGTCAGTTCGTTTGTAACATCGTAAAATATTCGTCGTAGACCCCATAAAGTATATATATATTCATAATCAGCATAAAACTCTAAGTCGATTTAAAGATGTCCGTCTGTCTGTCTGTTGAAATCACGTTACAGCCCACATTATTTGACGTAGAGCGCCAAAATTTAGCAGAGCAATTTGTATTGTGTCTAGGATGGTTGGTATTGAAAATGAGATATATCTGTCCACGTTCTGGTATAGTCCCCATATAACGGTACCTCCCTATATTCGGTATTTTGATGATTTATGCCACATTTTTTTCATGGATTTGTCTGAAAATTGGTATTTGTAGGTCATAACGGGTCCCTGCAAAACATTGCATGTATAGCAAAACATTGCATGTATAGGTCCACGTTTTGGTATAGTCCCCATATAAAGGAACCTCCCGATATTCGGTATTTTAATTTTTTTTGCCACATTTTTCACGGATTTGTCTAAAAATTGGTATTTGTTGGTCATAATGGGTTCCAGCTCCGGTGGCGAAACATTGCATGTATGGGTCCATGATTTGGTATAGCACCCATAAAAAGGGACCTTCCGATATTCGGTATTTTGAAGGTTTTTGCCACATTTTTTCACTGAGTTTTCTAAAAATTGGTATTTGTGGGTCATAATGGGTCCTAGTTCATGTGGCGAAACATTGTAATTATAGGTCCACTTTTTGGTATAGCCCCCCATATAACGGTACATCCCGATATTCGGCATTGTAATGGTTTTTGCCACATTTCTTCTAATGTTTCCTTTACCATAAGGTGGAGGGTATTAAAAGTTTGGCCCGACCGAACTTAATATTTGTTTACTTGTTTTAAGAATTTCGCAGTTCAATGGACTGTCTGGATTATGGAAAATTTTAAGTGGACTTCATAGAACTTGTTTGTATGTCAAAACTCGAAAGGAGTTTTGGGGTCTTTGGCCAAACTTTGTAAAGGCCTTCATACTGTTTTGACTGCATATAAAGGGACACCTATAGTTTGAAATATATTTCGCAACATTTAAAAAAAAGGGTTTTGGTACAGGAAATGGGTGATATTGGCCCATTTTTTTGAATAGCCCCCATAAAAAGACAAAATTTTTGTACATCCATTATATAAAAATACCCCCTAATTTTACTTATTGCGAGGGTCTTGGTCATAATTCACCTCCTTTATCATACGAGTTTATATTCACCTCCTTTATCATACGATTTTATGCTGGAAGATCGACCGACACAAACTATTTTATTTCAATATTTTATTGAATTTTTTTTATTTATCAAGGATACAATTACTCATAAATAAGTATTGCTTAATTCTAAATCTGCCTTAATTTAAACTGTTTAAATTTTAGATTTTCCGTTACGCTCCATCACATAAGTTTTGAGCTTTCTCGTAACTATACGAACAGGTGGTTTCTGACAACTGTTGTCAGTCGAATGCTGTTGAATCCGTACATCCCCAAGCTAAAGTGTTTTAGAAAAAAAGTCAACAAAGAAGAAATAAACAATTCCATCGAAACGAATTCCTCCGAGTTTCATGAGTAAACATGTGTTGTTACAACTTTCCCAGACCTGCGCCGTAGATGGAAAAGCACATGTTATCCTCACACCAAAGATATAATGTTTGTAAACAAACCGGTTTGGAAGACAGAGCAAGCATAAACAAAACATGCGCACTAGGCCCCACAACACATCCAACAAGTGTTGTTGGATTTTCCCGAATCCAGGAATTACAAAGCCAAAGCTTTGTGGAAGTGAGCTTTTGCAAATGCTTTTCGAGCTTAAAAGCTGGGCAGGGAGACATGCTTAGAACAGTAAAAGTTGTAACTTTAACAGTTATTATTTAGACTTTGAGGTGATTGGACGTTTTGAGCGGAACAAGCTAAAGTAATAGAGGAGTCTACACCAACAACGGTGGATACATACCTACCAGCAGAAAAGCAGCAGATTTTTTTTATAACAATTGTAACATTAAAGTAAATTATTTAAGAGCTAAGCTGGTGCAAACAGATTGATTTGTGTGTAGCCATAAAAAAGAAGGAAAATATTGAAATTTTGATTTAAAGAAAAAAAAAAAAAAAAACGAAAGTAAAAATATTGTGAAATTAAGAAATTCTGTATTTTTATATAAAAAAACCCCAATAAGCAACAACAAAAAGCGAAAAAATATACATCAAGAAACAGTGAAAGAAAGAAAAAAGAAAAAAAAAAAAACGAAAAGCAAACCAAGTGGAGCCACCACTTTTGCAAAAATACAATTAGGAATTGTTCGTTTGTTCATGGTCGCAGCTCACTTTTTGGTAGCAGAAGCTGAATATGTAGGTAAGTGGGTCTTTCCGAATGACTTTCCCCCAATTTAGTTTTTTTTTGGTGGATTTCAAAACCTACTTTTTATGAAGTTGGTTTTTCCTTTGTTAATTTTTCTCAGACCTTTAATTTTTGAACGAAAAAAGCTTCGAATATTCAGAATTCGAGCTGAAAAATGCCCGAAAAAGACACATCTTGAATTTTTTTTCCTACCCTGCGTGTGTGTATACTTTAGGAATTTTTCTTTCGTCTTTGCTTTAACGATTTTTCCAGTGACCTTGTTGTGTCTGTGTGTGTGTGTATTGTACGCTGATTTTCACTTCGTAGCCATATCGTTGTTGTCGTTGCCGCTGTGTTAGTTGCTATTTTGCTTTACGCTCCGCTTCTATACATTGTTCATACGTATCGGTGTGCTTAACTTAACAGTGGTTTTTGTTGTGAGAAAGAGAGGTGGTAAATACAAATATTCTTTGGTAGATTTCAAATTCTCTTTGGCATAATTTATTTAATTGGTAGGAAGTGTAGATAATTTAAGGTAATTTTGAATCTCATTCGAATTATTTGCTCTATTCTAAAACTGCAAGCATGTAAAACTTCTTACTACGATAATCAATTTTTCCTTATGATATCGGAAAACAGACCAATTATTTGTTATGAAAAGAAAAAACGATTTTATGGTTTATCGAGTGTTTGGATCCGACAGGATTTAATTAAGGAAAACATTCCTTGGGCTGGTAAAGTTCACTGTGAAACCATTTCAGAGCTCCGATTTGAGTTTTCTTTCATTATTTATGAATCTCCACATAACCTTAGAACTGAATTAAAACTTTCTAATTTGAACTTTTGTTTCTAAAATTTGTAAAAATGTAAGAATTGTAAAATATGTTTTTTTGTGTTAAACTCTAATTTGTTGTTTACTTTGAGTCCCAGCCATAGCAAATTAACTTGACCCTATATTGACAAATTTGGAGAAATCACACGGTCAACATACAGGGAAAATTCCATCAAAAACCGAACATCCTGACAGCGCACCTTTAGATAACGAACAAGAAGTAGTTAAGTTCGGTTGGGCAAAACTTTTTAATATTCTCCACCATTTGGAAAGTAACGTTTGAAAAATAGTCTGTTAATGCCGAATTTCGAGAAGTACCATTATATAGGGGCTATAGGATAACATGAACCTATATACCACGAATTATGGCCAATGAAACCGTCACACGCTGCCCGAATGTTGCTCTGCGGTATTTTGGCCCATTCCCGGCGAAGCGCTTGCTTGAGGGGATCGACACTTTGGTATTTTTTAGTGTCAACCTTGCTTTTCATTGTGCGCGGGAAATGAAGCGAGGAATCTCATTTTGTAACCGTTCATGTGTGGCGCGTGCTGAGTGCGATGGTGCTGAATACTGTTGGAATGTCCAAGGTCTGCGGCCAAAATGTTTGCATGCCCAAGTCTTTAATAAACCCTCCAGAATATTTTCGCAATAATATTCGGCATTTATTCTGATGCCACGGTCGATTAATACGAGCGGAGAGTGACCATCGGCTGTTATGGCGGCCCACACCATCACAATGGCCGGCACTTGAGTTCTTGAGAAGGTGCACATTGTCAGCTGACCTCTTTGGCAAGTAAACACGATCATTTTGTTTGTTTACGAATTGCTGGACAACGAATGTTTTCTCATCGGAGAAAACCAAATTCGGCAGTTCACCACTTTCGGCCAAGCATAGCAACTCTTTAGCTCTGTTGAGTCTATTTTTTTCCGTTGCGGTGCAAGTTCTTGCACTTTTTGGAATTTCATATCGCAATATTTCATTCGGCAAATATTGAAAAATGAGCTCGGGGTAAAGAGCTGTCACTAGAATAATTTTAAACGGCTGTCGAACGAGTGGCTTGGAAAAAAACTTTAGTTGGGTGCAGTTTTTTCATCTCACCATGTATATTATAAAACCTGTAATGATTCCGATTGTTTTTTTTTAGAAAGCAACAATTCGCAGTTTAAATATTTATCAAAATCTCTTTAAATCGTGGCTGTGGGTCCCATTCAAAAAAAAAAAAAAAAAAGAAAAAAAAAACAACTTAAGAAGCAGTATGTTTGGCCGGGCCGAACTTTGAATACCCTTCAAATACGAATTTGGAAATAAAATCCTTAAACAATTCTGTTAAAATTTTAAAAAAACCGAATATAGCCGTTATATTGGTGTCCATACGACGTGGACCTACATAGACATTGTTTGTCATAAGTCATTACCAAATTGAAATTCGAAACTTGAAATAAGCGGTGAATAATGTAGCTAAAATCATCAAAATATCATATATCGGGAGGTACCGTTACATCGAAGCTGTGCGATTTTCTGTCATAGGCTGCAGTATCCATTACGAACTTCAAATACGACATCTCAAACAATTTCGGTGGGTATTGTACCTAAACTCGTTAAAATACCGAATATAGGAAGGCACTGGTATATGGGGCCTATACGAAGACCTGGACCCGCATAGACAATTTTCTGTTACAGACTGCAGTTCTCATCACGAACTCTAAATACGTAATTTGAAACAATTCCGGTGAATAATGTCGCTAAAATCATCACCGAATATAAGGAGGTACGGTTATATGGGGGCTATACGAAGACTTGGACCCTTAACCTGCCTACTGGAAAAATAAACATGTGTGCAAAATTTTAGACTTCTATCTCAATTCGTTCGAAAAATAGCATGATTACAACAGACAGACGGAGGGACATCGCTAAATCGACTTAGAATTTTACGCTGATCAAGAATATATATACATTGTTGGGTCTGACATAAATATTTCGAGGAGTTACAAACGGAATGACTTTTGACTTCTTCTAAAGACAAACTTTTTTCCCCCCTCCGGTAAATTAAGAGAAAACATTTTCAACATGAACAATTTTTTATATAAAACGATCGATATATACATCAACATTTTCTAAAAAAGGTTCGGTGTTGTGACGACGAAAGTCATTTCATTTGTTTTCGTCCCCACTTTGTTGTTTAATTGTCAAATTGTCAAATTTATTTGTGTAAATAATGAATTATTTATATAAATATGAATTTTCATAAACACCGCTTTTTATTTCCAAAACTTAACCAATCCCCCTCATAATTATTTACATCGATTTCTTGTTTGGCATTGATTTTAACACTGGACAGTTAGGTTCAATGACCGTCATATTCAAGGCCACGCAGTAACAGCGAGCAATGTTGTTAGATCAACGCACAACTGCAATGACAATGCACTGCACCAATGCATAGGCAGCCAACAACAAGCAAGCATCACAACGATCGATTCAACCAAAGCATTGCGCCAATGCATAAACACACAACAACAAGCAAGCATGGCACAATGCATAAACGCACAACAACAAACAAGACTCACTGGGCATTGATGCTAATGCATGGTAGTGGAGACCGGACAACGCAGGCATAGCATAACAACAAAGACCATGCATGACAGTGAACCATCGTTCGATGATGGCAAAGCGAATGCATGGAAGACAAAATTTATAACTGTTTTGTCTAACAACAAAAAGGCTTTGCCATAGAAAGTCTGAGATCACGTGACATGCTGCGATCCTATAAAAAGGAAAAGTTCTATGAGAAGTTCTTTTCAGTTTTTGAAGTGAACAACAGCAAAGAAGTCAGGTGAGTCAGAGTGGTGACAAGATAGGAAAACTGTTAGAGGTGTCATAGCCCTTCGGTAACTCGTGTTCTCTAACTAGATTCTAAACCCTTGAGGTGTCGCAAAGCCCTTGGGTTCTTCGGGAATTTAGCCCTTGAGGTGTCGTAAAGCCCTTGGGTTCTTCGGGTTTCTTCGCTTCTAACCCCTTGAGGTGTCGTAAAGCCCTTGGATGCTTCGGGAATTAACCCCTTGAGGTGTCGTAAAGCCCTTGGGTTCTTCGGGTTTCTTCGCTTCTAACCCCTTGAGGTGTCGTAAAGCCCTTGGGTGCTTCGGGAATTAACCCCTTGAGGTGTCGTAAAGCCCTTGGGTTCTTCGGGTCTCTTCGTTTGTAACCCCTTGAGGTGTCAAAGCCCTTGGGCCTTCTGGTATTAACCCCTTGAGGTGTTTTGAAGCCCTTGGGTTCGTCGTATCTATCCCCTTGAGGCGTTAAAGTCCTTCGGGTCTCTTCGTTTTTAACCCCTTGAGGCGTCAAAGCCCTTGGGCCTTCTGGTATTAACCCCTTGAGGTGTTTTTGAAGCCCTTGGGTTCATCGTTTTAACCCCTTGAGGTGTAAAGCCCTTGGGTTCTTCTTTATCAACCCCATTGAGGTGTTCAAGCCCTTCGGGTATCCCCGTTTAATCCCTTGAGGTGTCTACAGCCCTTGGTTTCTACGTTCTTCAATCCCTCGAGGTGGGGTGTTTTCGACAAACACAGGAGGATAACCAGCATCAGAAGAGCAAGGACGCTAAATTTGCCGCATTATATACCAAAATCTATATATACTTTCTTACAAGAGCTGTTTAATATAAGTAAACCCCAATCAATTCTGAATAAACGTTATTTATTTTGCTTAAAACACAAACAACTTGCGTTTTTTACTCTCTCGGTCACTTTATAAATTTCTGTGGCAGACCCTAGACCCCGCGAGCATACCTTAGCCAGAAGAAGGGAATTTGGGTCGTTACAGTGGCGCCCGAGCAGGGACCGTGAGAGAGTTTAAACGTTAAACAAGAATTGATTGGAAGGTTACGGGAATGCCGGCATCTTTGCGTGTCTCCTGGGCCTACACCCTAAGAAGGGAAGACTTGTTGGCCTATTTAGAGGAGTTCGGTTGTCCAACATCTGGTACTGTCGAAGAGCTTCGGAGACGGTTCGCCCTCCTATTATCGGAGGATCACTCCCCTCAACGATTCTCTCGACTCATAGAATTGCAGGAGAAATATGAGAAGCCAGCTACTAGCCAGGAATTGAAGTTTCTCACCCCGCAGAAAACACCCAGTATAACGGTCACCGCGTCAACTACTCCATCCGGAGGAATCAATGTTCCAGCAAACG